AAGAATAAGGTTCTAAAACACAAACTTCCGGCTGAGAGAATTATGAAATTTAAATGACACCATGAGACCCTGCTCTTGTGGAATGGCTCTCAGTGACGGTTACAATTTAGAGATGCGTGTGTAAGCATTTCTTAAACCAGAAACCAAAATAATTTTGAGCCCAAGATGAGCTCAACCCTTCCTCAAAATGATGAAAACGCTGTCAAAACTCATGACTAAGTGACACCACCCCACCCCCCCAAGACCATATACATTTTAGGAGGTTCATCCCTTATTCCTTAATCGGAGAACAATGCTCTGTGTCAGACAGTGTGCTTAGCATCGGAGGAACTTGAGATGAATATGGAGATCCATTTGCAAGAAGACAGGGCATGAAAACCAAGGGTAAAAAGAGAGCTTTAGCAATCCTGGTTGAAGAATATGCACCAGGGGCCAGGTAATGGTTTGTGTCAACAGGCCCTGGACAGTGGAAGATGGCTCATAAGAAGCCAGGTTTGGAGGCAGGAAAAACACATTGAAGATGCATGCCGGGAGAAAACAATAAGGACCTGCATATGGGTAGTTGCTATGGGAAAGATTCAAAAGAAGCTGAGAGGATAATTATTTATAAACAGAAATGGAAGGAAAGAGAGAAAGAAATTTAGGACAAATGCCTAGCATGAGACAAGTTTTAAAATGAGGATAAGCAAGCAGGAATAAAACGTACGAAAGATGTAGAAGCAACGTTTCTTTCCAAGTTAATGATTGCCAGGCTTACGGTGATAGGGCTTGTTCCAGAATGGGAACAGCTCACAGAGAGTGTAAAGAGAGCGAGCAGGGGTGGGTGCTGCTGCAGAGAGATGTCAGGACTAGTTTGTGGATAGCACTGAGTGCTATCAGGTTTTTTCCATGCTTAAGACACTGTGGATTGTGTACCTGATATTCACTTGTGCTAGAGCTCTGTGATCTGTCTTAATCATATCTATATCATGATAGTGTATACTTTGACCCCTGTTAGAGTCTCAGAGTAACTTCAGCTTGCCTTACAACAGGACACATTTTCATTTCTGTCCCTTTGTCATATTCCACAATACCTGAAATCTGTTCTGGGAAATGCATGATATGAAAGCACTGATATGTAATTCTAGGTCAGTGGATGGGATCGGGTCGGGGGACAAGCTCAGAAGAAATAGATAATCCCAGGAGAAGTCTAATTATATAATTTTTAAAATAAAGTAATAAGAAGATGAATTGGGCTACCAACATTAAGAAATAAAAGGAAGGGATGACAAAAGTGGGAATAAGTCTGATGATAAATATACATCAGAACGTATCTCTGGAGGCCACGTGGGCAATTTAAGGTAAGATAACATTTTATATCTACATGTTGCTAATGGCCACAAAGAGAAAGGGAGGAGAAGAAATGGTGTGGAAGGAAAGTTGGCAGTGAGTATTTGCAAAGCACAATGCATTAAAGATGAAATGATATACCTAACTGGAAATGATTCGGCAGAATCTGCCGTGAAAAATAAAGGTGATATAGTTCTGTGATATTGGAAGCTATGGGGGTAAATGCATTTCCAAAGGAAAAAAAGCAAAACAAAACAAAGAGGTAAAACTCAGAGGTCAATGGGAGGAACATTGGAAGATGTTTCATTGATAGGGATGAGAGGAAATAGGAGACCCTGAAATGAAATTTAAGAAGTGTCTATGTTTAGAGATTTAGGAAGATTTAGGAAGTCAGAAAGGAAACAAGGAAGGTTAGAGGCCTAAGAACGTGTGTTCAGAGTCCTGAAGCCAGAAGGAACCTGGGACACAGTGAGCTGTAGGAAGGATGTGAATGATTCCGGGTCAGAGGGACTTCGGGTGACTGTGCCAGTGGCTCCACACAACCAAGGGTGGCTGATGTCCAATTTTCCCTGATACTTAGTTATCGACGGGACACTGTCAGTGGTGACGCACCCCAAAAGGTAGATTCCACAGTGGAGAGGAACACCGTTTAATTAGACAAAGTGCGATTCCAAGAACACTTATGGTCTAATTTGATGCAAGGAAATACCAATAATTCTATAGCTTACAGTGTCCATGGAATTTATTTTCTTTATCAGGATAAAGATAATTTAAGAATGAATATTTGACACAGAGAAACAATCCTTTTAAAAGGAAAGATTAAAAAATCCAAAGAAAAATCCTTCATTTCTGACTTATCCACTTGCTAGCTTTCCTCTGAAAGTTTGGAAGTGTGCTAGGGCCTATTGTCATACTCGCCATTGGAGGCAGATTGGAATAACTTCGATTCTAATACGGATTTGTCTACTGAGCTCATATATTCCAAGTATGCACTAAACTGAGATCATCGCCGTCCTCACTCGTATATCTACCCCTAGGTTCTCACTCTTGGTAACTTAACTCCCCAACTAGTTATTCAAATCAGTATGTTCTTATTTTTCCTTACCTTTCTCTATTCCTTACCTTCAGAATCTTATCAGTGAACATAATTTATTCATTCTACTTCCAAACAATCGCTTAATATTTCCCAATGCCTCATGCAAGTCTGAGCCATAAAACTGAGAGAAGTTAGGTTGAAAACAAATCATGGTTTCCCAATACATATGTATATGTATTCTAATATACATATTAGAATAAATGTATTCCTAAATATATAGAAAACACAAATGTAAGTTTGTGTTTTATACACACACACACACACACACTCATATATTCCTAGAAATTTAACTTCCAAAACATAGTAGTAATAGCTTGGTTTATAACATAATATTCTCTTGCATGTCACATTCTTGTCACCATTTCCCAAAACAAACATATACACATAAACGTAACTTTATGCATATGAACAAGTAATCATTTAGGTGGGGAAAGCATTTTGAAATACTCAATAAACTTAATGTTTTATTTTATATGCCTAAAATTTTCAGCACTTCAGGATATAACTTTCAAACTATTCATCTAATACTCTTATTCTACTGGTATGCTGTACTTTTAACATAAAAAGACATTAAAGATAGTGAGGTGTAACCCTATGAATTAAAGGCAGGCTACAAACATGGGACATAGGGGTAATTCTTTTAAGTTTTAAGACAAAAGCTCAATAACTTGGACTGTATCTGCATAAGCCTGTTCTCAGGGTTCTGATCTATTTCCTAGTCTCTTCATATGGTGCTGACATGTATTTGTACATAGTGTTGAAATTGATATCAAAATACACCATATGAGTAAGGGTACATTATGTTTAAAAATTTTAATGCCTACAATGTTACAATTGTTTTCAATAAAATTAAATCAGGTAGTTGGTCCTTTACATATGAAACCATGAAGCTACCAGATATTTCTAAATAGCTTTAAGAGCCACAACCATATCAACCCAAAGAGTACCAATTTTTTTAATGTTAGGGGTTTAAACAATGCCGATCCATGAGAGCATCTACATGATCTACGTAGTCTTGGTTTTGGCTGCTTTCCATCCTTACACAGATGTCCATTGACTTTCCCCTTTGTTGTAACTTCTGAGATTGAAGCAGTGAACCAATGTGCCAAGCACTCATTTTTTATCAAACTTATTTTTCACTGAACACGGAGCCCAGGTAGCGCAGGGGTTACCTGTGAACTGCTGACCACAAGGTCAGAAGTTCCCAAACCACTGGCCACTCGAGGGGAGAAAGACGGAGGTTCTACTCTGTGCAGAATGACAGTCTCGGAAACCCACGGGGGCAGTTCTTCCCTGCCCGATAGCGTAGCAGGAGTCGGCATTCCCTCGATGGCAGTGAGGGGTTTTTTTGGGGTGTGAGTTTTTGTTTGGTATATCTCATATTCCATTGGGGTAGGAAAGATCATAGACAAACAGCAATTGGAGAGGATGGATGGATGGATGGATGGATGGATGGATGGATATAGATGTTAAACTATAGGAGTTTTGACTATTATTAGGAAGAAAATTAATCTTCAAAGAGAAATGAAGAATACGTTTCCAAGCTTTACAAAGGACATTTAAAGAATGTCTCTCTGAAAATGTAATATTTAGACAAAGACCAAAGGAAATCAACCGTGGAGATATATAAATGGCAAAAAATTACCCTAGGGTAAAAACCGAAGCAGGATTGAGTAAGGTGTCAGGATCTAGCTGAATAGAAGTCAGTTAGGGAAAGAATGGCAGGAGAGAAGCTGGAGATGACTCGAGATCAGATCACAAATGGTTTCTGATTCCTAGGAGGATTGCTATTGTATTATGAATGAGTTGGAAATGTATTGGAGGATTTAGAGCGGGACGTAGCACAATCTGACACAGGAGAGGGTGGCACCAGCTGCTGTGCAGTTAACAAACTAAGGTTAGTAAGTGGAACCACAGCAGACACCGAGGGCTCTGTTCTAGCAGTGCAGACTGTCGCTCTGGGAGCGTGCTTCAGGGGTCAAGGTGCAAAATGGGGATGGATGGGCATTTGTTGATGAATAGATGGTGGGGGGTGAGAGAAAGAGAGATCTCATGATTGTCTCCAAGGTTTGGGACCTGCACACCTTAGTAAACTGTTGTTGTCACTCACTGAGATGGGGATGTGCAGGGCAGAAGTCTGACTTTTCTTTTATATACATCTGCCCTCTCCTAGCCCTCCCAGTCCTTGCTGGACACTGAAAGAGATCATTTAGTAGTTTAAACTATGTTATGCTTGAATGGAAAAATATTAACAATGGCTGAAATAAGTAATATGTTATAGCACTTGGTAGTGCAAAGTGTTTTAATATCCGGTCATGCATTTTCAATATGTGGAAGCATTGAGGTTTGGGGGACTTGCTCCTAACTTTACAAGCAATATCAACAAATGATTTTTTTCAGAAATAAGGTGAACAGTAACATGCTTTAGAATGAATGTTTCACAAGTACTAAAAAAGTGAAGGAAGGAAAGATTAGTTTCTTGTAATCCATCAAAAAAGTAACAAAGTGGAAATGGACTTAAGGAATGCTATGTATTCAACTGTGAATTAATGCATATTTATCATTTGTCTCTCAGATCCAAGGTTCATTAGTGCCCACCTCATCCCCGAGAGTGACAACCCTGAAGATGACAAAGTCTATTTTTTCTTCCGTGAAAATGCAATAGATGGAGAACACTCTGGAAAAGCCACTCATGCGAGAATAGGTCAGATATGCAAGGTGAGGTAAAGAAAGGCATTGAGATCAGGTCATTGTGCACGTGCAGCTGCGCTTTTTATTTCTATTTTTTCCGCCTGTGTAGTTACAATGAAAACCATAGTTAGCAGTTTTAATAGATCACATTAAATGTTTTTAAGTGATTATAAACAAATTAAAAGTATATTGTACTTTCTCAAGAGTAATTCTACATAGCAAAACATGTTGGTAAAAGTTGCAATATAGCTCGAGTTATTTCATAACTCCATTAAATCATGATAGCTTAAAATTCGGGCACATCCCGCCCCCCAAGGTAATCGGGGAGAGTACATGGACCATTCCATACTTCTTTGTATACTCAGACCTAGCAATTCCTACAAGTGTAAACTTGAGATGAAAATTGTTGTTTAACATTTGAATGAATGGTATTAGAATAGCTGGACTTTTCATTTAAATTTAAGAGTCATACATTAAAATTTATTTTAACATTTATAATTTTTCTTCCTAAGGATGCACTTACATACACACACTCACACATAATTTTGGGTGTTATTTTATAGAAATGTTTCATTTATTGTTTGATATAGCCTGGTTTTAACTCAGCACTCTGAATTTAAAATATGCAAACTAAAAACAACATTCTATAAATGAATGGACTAAGTATTAATCACTAGTATTAATTTTAAAACAATGATTTTTTTCTCTCATGCAATAAATAGTACAATAAAAAAATCACTGAGTATAAAACAAAATATCAGTATATACTAAAAGCAAAATTCATCTCAAGCAAAGAAAAAGCTAGTTGCAAAGGCTTTCTTTTAATAGTTTTTTCAAGAAAGTAGCTTGACATTTAAAAAATAATTGAGTGGTTTTTGGTAGCCTTTTTCTCACCCAATTGTTGTCCAATTATTTATCTCTACTATATTCAATTAACGGACAATTTTTATTAAAGTTTTGATTTTCTGGACACATCTCAATAAGATATCAAATAGAGGAGGATTTTTTTCTCCACATGGCATGAATGATATTTAAGATATTAACTACAGAGCTTTAAAACATTCTTATGTACCAAGTATGGATCAGTGTTATTTTGTAAGGAACTAGTTTATACACATAAATATTATTTTAAAAGACTATAAAAACTAAAACCAAACCTGCTGCGATTGAAACTATTCTGCTTTATAGAGGCCCTAGGGGACCCACTAGAACAGACCTGCTTCAGGAAGTTTCTGAGACTATAAACTTTTCTGGGAACCTCCAGCCTCCTCTTTCTCTGACAGCGGCTGATGAGTCCAACTGCTGACCTGAGAGTGAGGAGCCTAAGGCACGATCCACTAGATTACCAGGGTTGCTTTTTAAAGACGATCCTTTCCACTAATTACAATTAGCAAAACAGAATGTATCGCCACATTTAGGTGAAAGCCAAGTTTTATCAAGATACTGAGAGACTTCTGCAAAATGTTTTCTCTGGAATGAGTTCCCTTTATTAAACTTTACACAAATATTTTCACTACACATTATCTGTAAAATCAAATTGCTTCAACTGTTCAAAGTTATAGAATATGTGATGCTTTTAAGTTGTTTATTTGGGGTATAGTGATAGTGTGAGTGTTAAGGTAGGCATTTTCTCATCCATTCAATAAATACTCATTGTGTATTCCTTGCATAATAAGCCAAGCGCTGGCTGGGTCCCAGCCTATGTAGATACGTGAGGCAGGCACTATGGGGAGGAGATACAAGCAAAGGGAGAGTCCGAATTGCTACCTGCAGTGGTAGCACTGCGAGCTCGCACAGTGGCTAGAGTGGTGACCAGGTGGGAACAGCCTTGTTAAGTTAATGGAGCTCTGGCAAGTAGTTCTGGAATAAAGCTTTAGCAAACAAGTCATCCAACAATATCATAAAGAGGCACAGTTTCTTATACTTAGAACTTAAATGATTTAGGGATGCGTCAAAAATGAGGAATCACGTGGTATGGGTATCACATGATACAAGAGCAAGAACTCTTTGGACCGACAGGCATACTTCCTAAACCTGACGCTTACCCCTTTCAGAACGATTTTGGGGGGCACCGGAGTCTTGTGAATAAATGGACCACATTCCTGAAAGCTCGCCTGATATGCTCAGTTCCAGGCCCAAATGGAATCGACACCCATTTTGATGAATTACGTAAGTAGCTGGTGCTCTTGTCTAGAAAACTTTTGCATAAATGTTATCATGATCATAAGAAATGCAACTTTCCTCCATTTTGTTTTCAAACAGAGGATGTATTCCTAATGAATTCTAAAGATCCTAAAAACCCAATCGTGTATGGAGTATTTACAACTTCCAGGTAAATCGAATTTTAATTATCTTATTCTCATCGGAGTTTTGTGCCCCTGCGGTGACTCACGGGTCTGCACACTGCGTGCAGAGAAAGGGATGCTGCTGCGTTAACCTTGGAAATAAATCATGACCCAAACATTTGTCTGTTTTTCAAAAACAATTTTAGCAAAGAATGTCATCACTGTAATTCAAAAGGCCAAATGAGCTGAAAAAGTTGTGTCGTGAATTGTGTCTACCTTTAATCGTAGTAATGAGAGAACAATACAGAATACTGCAAATTTCGAAATATGAGTTTTGGCCAGAATTTTTAAGGACATAAAATAAGGATATGGAGGGAAATAAACTTTAAGTAAGAAGCCAGTAACTATCTATCAGTCAGTCTATCAATATCTCTCTCACATCAATTGCTAAGTGAATAAAATTAAAGACATTCTTTGACTCAAGCAGTTCCACTGAAGCCGTCTCCCCCTAGGGACAGGTGGCTGACACGAGTCCCTGTGGGAGAAAGGCCATGCCCATGTCAGCCTACGCCCCTCCTGCGAGCAGAAATGCATGCTCATGGACCTTCTATTACTGTATCCTCCAGTAGAGATGCTTTCTTGGACTGTCCTACACATGTTTCTGGAACTGAAGTAGGTTCAAAGGTTTAGAGGTGACTGATGAGTCATAAATGAAACTATTAACTTGGTTTCAAATACTTTAGAAACCCATAAATATGATCATCCAAATGTGTCAATTTTAACTTTCAAGCTGATTTTATATTAAATATTATTTGTACCTTTTTATTTTTGAGACTCTACTTGGTTTTGTCCTGTAACCGAGTTTTTAAAAACAGCAACAGAAAAAGAAGGAATAACTCCCTCCAAGACAAAAGTGACACCGCGCAGAGAAGAACAAAACCCAAAACCCTGAGCACTTACTAGGTCTTGACTTTACCCACTGTTATTTCCACATCAATCCCAGTCTTGGATTTCCTCTCCTCTGTCCCCTCTTTCCCTTTCCATCTCCCTCCCTCGCTGCCTACACCACCTCGGTGCTGGCTGCCAGGGGCTGTGATCGCATAAAGGGAAAATTTTAGTGCAATATAAATACTGGTTTCTTCTGTAAATACTAAATCTGTTATAAATTTATTGGAAATGTCTGTTTATGAAAACCTCACTATTCAAAGATTAAGATACCATATTAATAAAATTATATGCAATTTTTCCATTCCTAAACATTCCTTCCCTTTTTCTACATAACAGAATGTCCACTAAAGAATGGGAGGCACAAATTGACCAAGTATGAACTCATTGCCTCTGTACCTCATTGCTTGTTATTAGTGGTTCTCAGGTTAGAGTGCACACCAGAATCACCTGGCGAGCTAGTTAAACAAGAAATTGCTGGGTGTGGCTCCCCAGTGCTTGATTCCCTAAGAATGAGATTGAACCTGAGAAGCTGCATTTCTAACAAGTTCCCACGATGCCCGTGCTTAGTCTAGGACACCAGACTTCAAGAATCTCTGGTTTAATGGATAAAATGATTTCTAATATCAGTCTCAATGAAGTGGGTGCTCATTTACTGGGTAAGCCTTAACTATACATCATTATTGTCCAACCTTTCAATCATAACCAATTCTGTATATAAGCAAAGTGTTTAAAAGTGTAAAACAGGCAAGTGATGTAAAGATTATAAACTATGCTGCATTGAACAAATCTTAAATTACATACATTCTCTCTTGAAGATATTATTATTCAATCATCTACTACTATTTTTTGATAATACTCTGTGCTAAGTACCAGACAACTTGCAATGGCTGTAGCAAAAAGCCAAGCAAATACCCTTCCATCAAGAAGTTTTTAGTCCAGTAGATTCTGTTCACATGTGGACATGACCAAGGATGGAATTGTGGTAATTCATGCTTTTCTTTCTTCTCTGTTAAAAATCATTTTATTAGGGGATTTTACACCTCTTATAACAATTCATACATCCACTAACATGTGCTTTTCTTCTGTCCTGATTTATATAAAATTTTCTGTGGAGAATGACAGGTTAAAAGATAAGCATTCTTTAAAAAAAATAAGCATTCCATATTTTAAATGTGCATAACTGTTTAAGATTTTCAGACTACCATTTTTCAAGCTCTATTTATACAAGCAAAATAAAATATAAACCTATGTCAGCTCAGTGGCAAAATTCCAGTTGATACAATTACTTGATTTTTTTACTAGCATAATAATAGATATAAATTCTGCATTTTTCACCTTTGATTAGCATATAATAGCTACTACCTGAAACAAAATTCTAGGTTGGAAAGAGATTATTTCAATGATTTTTAAAATACAAATTCTGCTATTTGATCTAACACCCTCAGGTTTGGGAGTTAAGGTTATAAAATGGACCATTTAATTTTGTCCTGACTTTTCATTTCCTCGACCATTGTCTGCTTTCGAAGGACGCCTTAAGCCTTCTCACTTGTTTAAAAGTTTCCTAGTTTTGATCATGATGCTTACAGGCTTAGCGTATTATATCACCCAAGTATATAACTTCATTTTTATGCACTAGCAAAAGAATCTAAGTAAGCACTGGATTGCTAAGTAGAGTCGGCAAGTTCAAGCCTACCTTCTGCTCTGTGAAAGATAAAATTGTTCCCATAAAAATTTACACGGTCTGAAAACTTAGATTCTAATCTGATCCATTAGGTCATTAAATTGAAATTGATTCATTGGCAGTGGGCTCTGGTTTATGTGATATCAAAAATAAACATTAGCTTTTACAAGATATATATGAGAAAGCTTCAATTAATTCATGGGCAAATTCCATTATATTTCCATTCTTCATGAACTTTTTGAAGCCCTTTCACATGTGTTTTTCCTATCAAAATGGAGATGTATAAAATGAATATATAGATTTAAGGAATACTATAGACAATTTCATCCAGAAGTAAAAATTTGTTTCTGATGTATTGTTAAAATATATACATGTTACTAAAAGTGACAGTCCTGACAATCTGCCTCATTAAAATGACAGCCAAGCAAACCCTATAGAGCACCAATCTACTCCATAACACGTGGGGTTGTCATGTGTCAGAATCAACTTGGCAGCAACTAACTACTATCAAAAATCCCAGACACACTGGCATTGCTGATACTTGACATTCATGTTTTGGAAATCAATATCAAATCGAAATCTGGACTCAAGATAAAACTAAAACCATGTATAAAAATGAATGCTTATGTTTATTCTCTCTTGCTTTCTTAGTAACATCTTCAAGGGATCAGCAGTATGCATGTACAGCATGAGTGATGTGAGAAGAGTCTTCCTTGGACCATATGCCCACCGGGATGGTCCCAACTATCAATGGGTACCTTATCAAGGAAGAGTCCCCTACCCGCGGCCAGGAACTGTGAGTGACCTATGTATTTAAAATAGGAAACCAATATATATCTGACCAGTATGTGTGTGTGATTGGGGGTTGCTACATATAGATTTTAAATACAGATAATGTGGAATGATTATTCTAAGCTATATGACCACCAAGCACCTATTTTCTGTCATTTCATATATAGATAACTATTGATGTTCAGCGTTTAACAATTTTTTTAAATTACAACTTTTGAAAATTAGAAATTCACAATTTTTGAAAATTAGAAATTCAATGGTTAGCTTCATGTATAAGCTGAGTTTTTCAGGACATGCAGTTTTTGTGGAAAAATTAGGTACCTCAGCTGATATTCGGGTCAGATTATACTCGAGTATATAGGGTATACAAAAATCCTCACTCTCTCTCAATACACACACACAAAACACAACAGAAAGTCATAAATATTGCAACAAAAAATTGAAACATTAAGTAAAAATATCAAACTACGGTGATGCTATTATTTCTCAACATGTCTTCTGCATTCTCTTTAAAACCACGTTAAACTGAAGTTTTGGTATCCTTGAAGAACTCTTGAAGTAATGAAACATGATTTATTTAAAATTTGTTTGAACTTGAGGGATAAAAGAAGTTTTAAGGGGCAAGCTTAGGGCTATAAGGTGAATGGGGTAAAGTTTGTCAATGAAATTCTCAGAGGAGAGCTCTGGCTACACTCAAGGAATGATGTGGAAAAAAACCAAAAATTCGTAGCATACAGTTCTTGGCTTTGTTCTCACCTATGCAATGTTCTGTTCTATTAAGATTCCTTTTGAAAAACCTCTGTGCTGGTGCTGTGTCCTTGGAGAAAATCTGTCCAAATGAATCCTTTGGAATTCTCAAAGTGGCTCTCTAACTTTCTGAGCTGACGTCAGAGATCTTGTCTGCAGCTACCTCTGATCAGACACATGTTGAAACACGTTTTATCTAGACTAAACACTACTATCAATATTTCTAATCCACCCTCATACATGCACAAACACACGTGTGCACACAATTGAAGAGTCAAGTAGGTCTGACATTTGTAGGGCAAGCTGAAGGCTCGAGCCCACCGCGATCTTTCAGTGTTCAAATCTTGAGACAATTCCTGTCAGGAGCTGCTAGCTTTGACTCCACGGATATCCCGCAGATTGAATGAAGCCCATCCCATTTCAGAGGATTGCCTTCTTTTTAGTCACCTGATTGTAGACGTTAACATCTCTACAAAGAACATTTACAGCACTATCTAGACAAGTGTTTGACCAAACTGGGGATCATCCCTAGACAAACAGACACATAAAATTAACCAACACGTGTTTTTAATTCCAGTGTTACATATGTGATATCTTTTATAATGTTAAATATAGACTTTTATAATTATCTTTAAACAAAAAATAAATAATTTAATGTATAACAATTACATTATTGTGTCTTGGTGCAAATGCACACATATTATTCTCTCCACTTCAAAAGTGTTTACAGTGAACCCTCGTTTATCGCGGTTAATCGGTTCTAGACCCTACCGTGATAAATGAAATTCTGCGAAGTAGGATTCCTTATTTGTAAATCAAATATTTTTGTAGTTAGAGCATAGAGGACATGAAAGAACACCCTTTAGTCACCATTACACTC